TTTGCTGTTGTTGCCCAGGCTGGAGTGCAAAGGTGCAATCTCAGCTCACTGCAACCTTGGCCTCCTGGGTTCAAGTGATTCTCCTGCCTCAGCCTTCCAAGTAGCTGAGATTACAGGCATGCGCCACCATGCCCAGCTATGTAATTGCTTAACTTCTAAGATCACCTATTATCTTTGAGAAGAAGCAGAAGGAATAATCCCATAGCTACCCTCTGAGCTTCCTTTTTCATTCTCCTCCCTCAAAGTAGGTAGAATGTACTAGAATTTATTTGCAAACTAAATATATTGGTTGTAGAGTGCAGATTTGTAGTCTATGCCTTCATCGAATGTTCAATGTAGTGTGAAGGAGAAATATTGCTAGATACTCAAAAGTTTGCTAACTTAGGGCATAGAGATATAATGTACTATAGGATAATATAATAGGCAGACCTAACCTAGGTAGCCTAAGAAGTTTAGGGAAAGCTTCCTGGTAGAAATGATTTTAAACTGACATCCAGTCAAAAATGATTACAAGGAAGGGATTAGGTAATCTAGGCAGGGGTGAATTTTTCACAGCATGTGTGAAGTTTTTAAATTGGGAAGGTAGCAATGGCACTTTGAAGGAACTGAGTTTTTAATTTGAAATAGAGAAGAGGTGAAAATTGCCATTTCTTAACTAACACATTTTGATTACTATTTTATAGGTAATTTCTGGACAGAAACTCACACAACTGTTTACATCAAATCATATATTAACAAGTGAATGCTTGAGTTGTCTTGTAGAGCTACTTGAAGACCCAAACATAAGTGATTCACTGATATTAAGTATTATCAGTTTGCTGTCTAAACTAGGTAATGCATTTAATTTCTCTTTTTTTAGTTTTTGGAAGATGTGTAAACAATATTTTAAAGTGCCAACTTAGTCTTTTAAAGAATGATTCACCTTCAAAGATTTCTCAATCTAATATGCGTTATGAATCTTTTGAAAGAGGGAAATATTTTATGCAGCATTTCTTAAAATTGGACTGAGGAATCAGAAGCATGTGAAAGGTTCAGTGTTCTACAGAAAAGAATGCACTTTGGGAAATGCTGGACTACTTTTGAATTAAAAAACAAAAACCCAGACATAATGTCGATATTAAATATACCACCAGAAAGTTTAGGTACTGATCAAAGAATCATCCTTCTGTAATAAATTACACTGAATTTAGAACTACAGGTAAAAGTGCTGTTGTTGCTTTTTCTATCTTTTCCCCCATAGCTTTAGTTTTTAAATGTTCATTTACTGATCACTTTACCCCAGTTTGGGACATGGTGGTGGGGATATTTCTTTGTGTGATTATAATAATATATGCATAGTTTAAAAAATTCTAGTGACCCAGAAGTATTAACACAAAGTAGCATTGTCCAACAGTACTTTCTTCAGTGACAGAATTGTTTTAGAACTGTGTTACCCAATATGGTAGCCCCTAGCCACATGTATCTATTAAGCACTTGAAGTGTGAGTAATGGACTAAGAAACTGAATCTTTGATTTTAATTAATCTAAATTTAAATAGCCACATGAAGGCTAGTGGCTATCAAATTAGGCTAGATATACAGTAAAACTGGATGAGTCTGTACAGATTACCGCCAGCCCTCATTTGTTCACTTTTGGGGATATAATCTCATTTAATAGTTTGATATATTTCTTTGCAGATATTTTTCTTTGCTGTCACAGAACAATAATTTTGGATCTTTAATTGGTTGTTTTTAACATAAATGGTGTTGCAGAGCACCAGATGTTTCTTTCCATATCAGCATCTTTAATAGCTGCCTAGTGCCATAATTACAGGGTATCATAATTTATTCAACGATCCCCTAATAGTGGGCACTCATCGTTCGTTAAGTTTTTGCTATTGGAATCAAGAGTGCAGTGAACAGTCTGTGTAATTTTGTTCAGATATTAGTGTGTTTCTATTCTATTTCTATTCTATTCCTGTAGAATTTCTAGATCATTTGAAAATTTGATAACCGTTACTAAATTGCTTTCCGAAAAGATTCTTCCACTTCTAACATCCACCAACAATTTGAACGAGAATACCAGTCACTTCGAACATTTGTACTTTAGAAGCATTTGGGGTTTACAGAAAAATTGAAATGATAATCTTTTTAAATTAATTATTTCAGATATATAATATTGTTACAAAGTTTGAGGTACATATGGTATTTTGTTACCTGCATAGAGTATGTGGCAATCAATACACGGTATTTAGGATATCCATCAGAAAAGAGGATTTATCGTTTCTATGTATTTAGAACATTTCAAGTCCTCACTTGTAACCATTTTGAAATGTACAATGCATTGTTAACTATGGTCACCTTACTCTACTATGAAACACTAGAACTTATTCCATCTGATTGTGTGTTTATATCCATTAACCAACCTGTCTTCATTTCCCTGCTAACAGCTCCCCCTCACACCCTACGCCACCACACGCTGTCCTGTATTCTTCCCAGCCTCTCGTAACTGTCATTCTCTACCTCCATGAGATCACCTTTTTTTTTTTTTTTTTTTTTTTTTCTTTTTACAAAAAATTTTTTTTTTTTTTTTTTTTTTTTTTTTTTTTTTTTTTTTTTGGCTTCTACACATAAATGAGTACATGCAATATTTTTCTTTCTGTCTCTCGCGTATTTCACTTAACATAATGGCCTCCAGTTCTATCCATGTTGCTGCAAATGACATGCCTTCTTTTGTATGGCCAAATCGTATTCCATTGTGTAAATATACCATAAAATGATAATCTTTTAATATTCAAATTAAAAGATTTTAATTTGATACTAGTTTATTTTACATAGAGAAATCTTTAGAATTTCTGAATTGTGTTTTGGCAAATAAAATAGCCATATTATGCCATTTTAAATGATAATTTATATGAAATACATTATCCATGAAAACCTTACAAGAAAATGATATATTTGGTGCTATTTTATTTTAACTTACAGCTGTAGACAGTGAAACCAGAGATTGTCTTCAGAATACATACAATCTGAATAGTGTGCTAGCCGGAGTGATTTGTCGGAGCAGCCACACTGATTCAGTGTTTTTGCAGGTATATACACCCACACAGTATATCCTTTCCTTATTGTCAGATCAAAATTGATAGTATCTGTCATAAACTGCTGACTTACAGTGTATATGCCATATAATAAATACTACATGTTTAGGCACAGTTCTTCACAATAAAAGTTGGTTGCACACATGCTACAATTTAAATGTTTCTAGAAAAGAGAAGCTTATCCATATCTAGCACTATTATTGAAGAGAAACAAATCTACATTGTAACTGCTTTGACTTATAAACACAGATGTCTGTGTTTTTTGAGACATAAGCTATTTATATTAAAATTGTAATGTGAGTTGGCATCTTGTCTCAATCTGTGGAGGAAACATTCTTTAAAAATTAAAGCTGTAGATATAGTCTATTTAATATAGTTTCAAAGCTCTTCATTCATATTTCATTGACTCTAAAATGTCAATTGTAAGAAAGAAAAACATCACAAACTAAATTGACTTGCAGTTTTAGAGATGGTAAAATGTGAAAAAGGGTGTCTTCTAATTGATGGGCTCTATATGTGTGTTTCAACCTGCATTCAAGTTAAAGATGACTGAATGAGGTTGATAACCATGCTCTAAGACAGAATGCATAGAAATATGTGAATTGAGAGAAGAGCCCTAAGGTTCTTGTATTACTTTATGCGGTTTTTTTTTTGTTTTTTTTTTTTAATGTTTTAGGAAATGGAAAAGGACCTGCTCAGAATGTGTCTGATAGTCCATTATTTTAAGCAGGCAATGTTTTTATTTGATTATATTTATAACTATTTTCTTATTTTCAGTGCATTCAACTTCTACAGAAGTTAACATATAATGTCAAAATTTTCTATTCTGGTGCCTATATAGATGAATTAATTATGCTCCTGATAAATCACATGTGAGTATGCATTCAAACATAAAACCAAATACTCTATTTGTTTATTTTTAAACTACAACCATGTGGTAGATCAATTTTTCTCAGATAACATTTTCTAACTGTGTAAACTGAATAAGACTCCAATTCTTACTTGTTCTGCCCAGATGATTTTAAGGATTGAAAGTTGTAAAGTATGTAACCTCATTCCTTGGTGAAAAAAATGTAAAAAGGAAAAAAAAGCTGTAAAGCAGCTTTAATTTTCATAACAAAAATTTATGGACTGAATTGACTTGGCCAGAAAAAAATTGCTGAAACTGAAAATTGTTTGGTTATTCTTACAGGAAAATATACTGATTAAACAGCATATGGTCCATGCTGGCAGTTATTTTCATGTTTTCATGATGGAATTGAATTGGGTAATTTTGTTTCAAAACGTAAGATAAAGGGTCAAAACTATTCAGAGCTTCTCTGGCTTTCCATGTTAACTAGATTTTTTTTTTTTTGCATATAGAAAGGAATTGAAATGTATAAACTATATCATTTTGACTTAGAATGATATTAATGCTTTTTTTCTTTTAAACAAAACGCCAATGTAAAAAAAAACAGTCAATCTTCTGAAGATGAGTTAAAAATGCCTTGTCTAGGATTATTGGCAAATCTTTGTCGGCACAATCTTTCTGTTCAAACACACATAAAGACGTTGGTAAGAATTTTTAATGTTTCTTATTTTATGATAAATTCTGTTTGTAAAGAAAATTTTATCTTTTTCTTTAAAACAAATTTGAACAAGGATTATTGTCTTATCAGCTGACCCATCAAAATTAATGAAGAGTCAGATTGACATATAAATAACTTGAAGCAGTTCAGCCTTCGTGTATGTTGTATTGAAGACTGTGTGTAAAGGGTTAATGCAAATACTTATTTCTAAAAGTTTTCCTTAGCATGGCATCCCATTGTTTATCACATTGAGTAGTACAGGAATTACTAAATTATTTTGTGCTCTTAGAAGAGAGAAACATCACTGGCAGTCCCATTTATCTCAGTCTGTGTTTCCACAAAATCAATGCAACTCCACCAGAAAGACTCATGAGTTAAGTGCTCAGTATGAACCAATAGTACTTGTGATAAGTGAAGTTACACACATGGATTTAACTGAATCACTTTTAGAAGTATATTAAATCAAGCAAGTCACTGATTCTTTAAGGTGCTTTGAGAACAATTTCCCTGCTATGCTATTCAACATTACCTGTTTATTTTAAATTTAATATCTCACTTGTTCAAGTGCTACATTTTTCTGACCTCATCTTGCTTTGGAGGTGGAGTTACTCTGTGTGTTGTGTATGTGTATGTATAGTGTGTATGTGTTTGTCAATTTCTGAATTGAAAAAAAAAAGTTCATATTTAGGAAACACTTAAATATAAGGAAGAATAAACATGCTCATAGTTCCATGTGTAGAAACTGCTATTCACCAAGATTGTGTCTATCTCTATGACTGTCAGTAATATATGAAAGTACCCATCTCACTCACACCTGCAATTATCTCTTAAATCTAAATGATAATCAGCAAATATGGCAAAGTTAATTGCTACTCCACAGTGTGTAATGGAAAACAAATTCTTGATTTGCTGAATATTTTTTTGCTTCTACCGCAATTATGAGAGTTCCTCATTACAGTACTTTTGTTAACACAAATGCTTAACAACTTTTCCTAGGTATTTAAGGTAGCTCTTTTGTTTCCACTCTGCATGTGTCCCATTATTAGCATTGACACTCTGATTTACCATCATTGAATTATTTATTCTAAGGTGACAGAACTTCGCAAAAATTTATCTCCCACTCGTTTGCACATATTCACCAAATTATTTTTTTCTCTAGATACTCTGTTTATAACAATTTTTGAATTTAAAATTATCTCTGATCTAAATTTCTTTTGTAGAACATTTGTCTTTTAAATGCGACAGTCGTTTAATAGAGTTGATAATGATGTTTAATGAAAGTTGGCCTACCCTGTGCAGGATATACTTTTTAAACCAAAATATAAAATTCATAATTCTAATTTATCTTTTAACTTTTGTTCCCTCAGAATAATGTGAAATCTTTTTATCGAACTCTGATTACCTTGTTGGCCCATAGTAGTTTAACTGTGGTTGTGTTCGCACTTTCAATATTATACAGCTTGACATTAAACGAAGAGGTGGGGGAAAAGGTAAATACAATTTTCACATTTATTCTGAAGTTTATTGTCTGATATTTTAAAAGTCATTGAGACATTTTTATTTTTACCTTTTAGGATGGTGTCAACTTAATTTTTTTGTATAATATGCCTTTTCTAATTTGTCCTTAAGCTGTTCCATGCTCGAAACATTCATCAGACTTTTCAACTAATATTTAATATTCTCATAAACGGTGATGGCACTCTAACTAGAAAGTATTCAGTTGACCTACTGATGGATCTCCTTAAGAATCCTAAAATTGCTGATTATCTTACCAGGTATGACTTACTTCAGTCAATTTTAGACCTTTTTTTTTTTTTTTTTAAACCAAGATGTGTTTGTTATAAATGAAATTGACTTCTTAAAATATAATAAACTTGGATTCTACTTATTCACGGTAGACTAAAATGAAATGTTTTGATGTGCCATATACTCCCACTCCTTTTTCTTTCCTGAACTGAAATGTAAAGTATAACAAGGTCATTGTGTATGTGTGTATTTCCGTCTTTGCTTTAGATCAATAGCGTTATACCATTCTCCAAAGTATAGACATTTTGGCTAATTTTAAAACTTAAGTGGCATTATGATTATTTGAAAGAATATTTTCATTATAGGTACAATACAAATAAATATTTCTACATAAATTATAAATAAATGAAACATTTATAATCTTGAAACATTGAAGTCCTTATGTTTGTGTCTTTTTTTAAATTTTTTGTATAAAAATTGGTAATGTTTACTTTGATGTGTGCCTCTTTTGTTATAAGTGAAATGGGAACACATGTTCATATGGCTTTCTGTCTCTGTATTTCATGGGATCATTTATGTTTTGAGATCAAGTAGTAATTGTTTTCCAACGAGCTTGTAGCCTTTTTGCTTTGTAATTCAATTTTGCTGGGGCATAAACTGCTTTGTGATCCTGAATTAGGAAATAACTAAAATTGTTTCAAAGAGTTTCATATACAAGAAACATTTATTGAGCCCCACCTATGGTCAGGCACTTAGCCGCAGTAGGATATGAAGACACAGTCTCTGATGTTTAAGAAACATAATATCTAAAAGTTTTAATAAAAGCTAAGCACTAGGACAAACTTGACCACTGTTCATTCGGCTCCGCTGATATTTTGTGAAACCAAGAAATATTCACTTTAGCATTTCACTGTTTCTTCTCTTAAGAATCTCTAGATAAGTGAGATTTTTCTTCCAGAGTGCCTTCCCATGACCTGCCTTCTCTTCATCTGTTGTAATATTCTCCCAATATCCATGTATATCTATTCTGGCCACCAGAAAGTGCTTATTCAGCAGCTTCATAGTAAACAAAAATTCTTTTGAATAAACCTCTTCTGAAAGACTGAAAGATAATCTGGTTTAGCATTAGTGAGAGGTTGCTTAATCATTTCTTCCGTAAGTCTCTGAGTTCTATTATCTATTTTATACTCTATCCATCCTGAACCCCAGAATGACCTCTGGCAACTCCTCTTGTTTATCTGGTATGCCATTGAACAATAACCCAATCCTGAATAAATCTCTTCCAAAGTCTAACTTAATGCATGGTTACTAATTAGAGCATGAGAAAATCATACTACTGTATCTGGGCCGGACCTCTTATATTTATTCGTCAGCTTACTTTCTCATTTCCTACAATGCATCTTTCAAATTTATTTATTTAAAGACAGAGCCTTGCTCTGTTGCCCTGGCTGGAGTGGTGCAGTCCGGCTCACTGCAACCTCCGCATCCTGGGTTCAAGTGATTCTCGTGCCTCAGCCTCCCAAACAGGTGGGATTATAGGCACATGTCACCACGCCCAGCTAATTTTTGTATTTTTAATAGAGAAGGAGTTTTGCCATGTTGGCCATACTGGTCTTGAACTCCTGACCCCAAGAGATCCACCTGCCTTGGCCTCCCAAAGTGCTGGGATTACAGATTTGAGCTTCTGGCCCAGCTGGTCTTTCAAATTTATTCTTTTTCTCTTGCTTCCTTTTATGCAAATGACCTTATCTCTGTTTCACAGGAAAAATCTAAATGGAGCCTCATTTGAATGGAGCTGTCTTAAATCCTTGCCCCTGGACAAACTTACCTATGTTTATACCAAATTCTTACTTAGTTGCATCTTGTTTTACTCATAAGTATGTTCATTACTCTATACATTGTCTCATTTTGACTTTTCTGAAGCACTTGCTCCTTTCTCTTCAGTGCCCTTCCATTCAGTTGACCTTTCCTGTTTAACTTATAAATATACTCAAAACTTTTTCTTCAACCACATGTCCCTTTTAAAATCTTTGACCTACCTACCATTACATTCAAGGTAAATATCCACATTCTCAGTATAGCCCTTCAAAATCTGATCCCTGACAACCTCTCAACCTTATTTCTTCACACATTTTGTTTTTTTGTCTAATCATATTAGACAATAAATAGAACTTTCACCTTACTAGAAATACGCTTTCATGTATCCATGTGCTATTTTCTCTAGGGTATTCCCTCTAGAAGACTGGAGTACTTTGTCTTTTACATGTCTAACTTCTATTTCTGTTTTTTAAGACTCAAGTCTGAGTTTAATGCCGAGACAATATTCTTTGTTCCATAGTGTCCCATACATTCCTTCATTAGAGCATTATATTTTATATTACCTTGTATTATCTCTTTCTGTCCTTCTCCCTCATCTTTAGACTGTGAGCTCCCTGTCAGTGCACCATCTCCCAAATCTAGGATACATCGGTCACATAGAATATAATGCTAGGGGTACCTCTGATACCTCTTGGAGTTGTGTAACACAGGTTGCTGCCCCTTCTTTATTTGCAGAAACTTATTTAGTGCCTGGCAATTTTAGGTGCCTTAAATAAATAAGCAGCTGTATAATTTGTTAGGATGTTCCTCTAACCTTTGAATTTTTACAAACTGAACACAATCTTAAAAAAATAGAGCAACTGAGGCACTGAAAATTTTAATGATTTATTTATTGCCACATGAATCACTGTTTTAATAAATGACAGGGCCAATTTATGTATATCATAATAATAAGACATATGACAAGTTTTAAGTATAAACTTTACAAGAATGTGTTCTATATTGGAAGCCCAAATAAATAAATAGATGAAAGAAGATACACATAATTTTTATATTTATCTTGTAAATCCCTTTTGATATATCAATTTTATCATTTGATGTATATTTTTATTTTAAACCTAGATATGAGCACTTTTCGTCATGTCTTAATCAAGTATTAGTTCTTCTTAATGGAAAGGATCCTGATTCCTCTTCAAAGGTATGTAAAAACATGACTTTTTGTTTAAACTTTAAAAAAACTGTAAAATGCAGAAAAATCTAAATGCACAGCTCTCTGTATTTTTACAATAGGGATACAATTATGTAGCCAGTGTCTAGATCAGAATGTAGAATGTTACCAGTATTCTAGAACCCTTCTTATGCTTCCTTGCAGTCAGTACCTATCCCTTCCCATTCCTTATCTTTACCAAGGATAACTGCTATAACCACTATACTGACTTCTAACAGCGTATATAGAGAGAGGTTTTTTTTTTATTTTGGAGTTTTATGTAAATAAAAGCATATAATAAATAGGTTTTCAGTCTAGACTTTTTTTTGGTTCAACATAATGTTAATGTGATGAGATTCATTCATATTTCATATAGTTGTAGATTGTTAGATTGGTTCTTTTTTTTAGAAAGGAAGTATGATTTATTGATGAGCATGAGTAAGGGGGCATTACAATGAAAGCCCTTATGAATGTAGTGCTTACTACTTGTCAGGGAGCCTCATTTGGGAATGTATTTGACCTCACCACCATCTGGAATGAGCCAGTTCTCAGCTGCCATGTCTTCAAATTTATTGACATTTAACTTGGTAAAGCCCCACTTTGAGATGGATCTTCTGGCAGCTAGGGACCTTGAACTTGGCCCTGCATGTAGGGCCTTAGTCACATGCTCCTTAATTTGCAGATTCATGTGAATGGACATGATGACTTGGCCAATGTGAACCCTGGTCACTATGCCCTGGGGGCTTTCCAGACGCACCTTGCATACCTCTCGGAAGCCTAGATGAGGGACAGCAGGAGGTCAGAGACATGAATGTACATTGGAAAGGGCTGTTTCTAAGGTTTCTTAGTGCAACCCATACAAGCAACAGGCTGCATATGTTACCAAGGAAGCAGCTATTTGCAGCCATTGCATCCTGGGCCCCCAGGAGGAAAGGAGCACAATTGGTGTTCTTTTGTTTATGATTATCAGTTACGAAGAAACCTCCATTTACGATTTTCTACATATCTTTTGATGAGCTTATGGACATGCTTGTCTTAGCTTTATAGCTTTGAGAGGAATCACTATGTCATAGGATATACATATGTTCAGTAGGCACTGTGAAACAGTTTTCCCAAAATATCAGTTGGACCAGCGTATGAAGATTTGGTCAGTCTGCGTTCTTGTCAACCCTTGATATTTTTCACGTTTTCATTTTAGCCAGTCTAATAGTAGTATTGCATTATGATTTAAATTAATATTTTATTAATTAATGAAAATTAATATCATTTTACTTATTCATTGGCCATTTATATATTCTTTGACATGCCTGTTTATGTCTCTTGCTCATTTGTTTAATGCATTGTCTGTCTTTCTCTCACTTACATGTAGGAGGATTTATTTTGGAGTCTTTTGATGGGTATATGACATGCAAATATTTTCTTCCATTCTGTGAGTTGCCTTTTTACTCACCTAATGGTGCCTTGATTTTAACTTAGATCAATTTAGTGTTTTTTGTGTTCCATTTAGGAACCCTTGGCATATTCCAAAGTCACAAAGATGGACTCCATTGTTTTCCTCCAAAAGCTTTCTAGCTTTTTTAACTTTCCCATATAGATCTGTAGTCTTCCTACAATTGACTTTTGTGTCTGGTGTGAAGTAAGACTTTTTCAGGTCAGCTTTTACCTTATAAGTTTTTATGGAAGAAAAAAATTAGAATGACTTTGAACTAATCATTTGCAACAGTGATATAAAAGATGGTAGAAAGGTTGAAATAGTACAAAGTTTATTACTTAACTATATTTTCTTTTTATTTTGAACACTAGAATTTCTACATTCCTTTCTCCTATGCAATGTGAGAACTATTCCTAGTTAGTATCTAAATGGATCTTAATAAAGTGACTAGGAATCTCTAATATAGGTGCTAAATAAGGATTCTTGAAATAGAGGAGACACACAGCAAGGGAAAAATCTAATAATCGAATCTAAAGTTATTAAACCATCTCAGGGAATTTAGGGGGTCAGGTAGCTCAGGGGAGTAGAAGCATTCTATGGGTATCAGAAAACCTGGAAGAGAATGAAAAAGTAAAAAAATAAAAATAAATAAAAATTTAAAACTTAGTTTTTATTTTAAAGTAAAAAATAATTCTTGTTATGATAGAAGTGGAGAGCAGTGAAAGCAAAATACATCTTGGTGGGGAAGAAATAGTTGAGTGTCTTTTAAAATAGATAATAGAGTACAGTGTGTTTTATTATAAGGCCAGTATAACCTTAATAGCAAAACCTGACAAGGATACTACAACAGATGAAAATTTTATCTTTCATGAACATATCGCAAAAATCCTAAACAAAATATTAGCAAATCAAAGTTAGTGACACATAAAAAAGATCATGTCTTATTACCAAATGAGGTTTATTGCAGGAATGCAAAGATGGTTTAACATTTGGAAATTAATATAATTTCCCACATTACCAAAAAAGCAGAAAACCTATATTATCTCATTAAAGGGAGAATAGCATTTGATAAAATTTAATACCTCTTCGTGATTAAGATTAGTACATTGGGAATAAAGAGAAACTTCCTTTCCCTGATCTAGTAATTACCAAAAATCTACTGCATCATCTTTTTTAATGCAAATTATTGAAAGCTTTCCTCAAGATTAGGAATAAGAAAACAATGCTCATTATCACCAGTAATGTTCAGCATAGTATTGGTGGTCCCAACCAGCCCAATAAGGCAAGAGAAATTAAGAAGGTATAGAGATTGGAAAGGAAAATAAAACTCACTATTCAGATGACCTAAGAATATAGAAAACCTAAAATCTATGGAAACCATTATTAAATTAAGCGAATCTATTTAACAAGTCGGCTGGATACAAGATCAGTAAATACATATTTTACTTATATTCTCTTGACAAATAGAACTTTATGCTATTTACTGATTTTTTAAAATGTCAGGTGCCTAGTCTAAAGACAGTGCAGTATTTTGTCATAATGATAGATAGCCCAATGGAACAGAATGGAACAGAACCAAACCCACAGCATATGGTCTCCTGATTGACAACAGTAGAGTCTTAAAGGTATGGTCATTTCTGACACTGGGTCAATTGAATATGCATATGGAAAAAACTGAATCTTCACCCCACCCCACCCCCACCTCATACCAAATGCAAAACTCAGTATAAGACAGGTTGTAGATTTAAATGTGAAAAGTAAAAATAATGAAGGTTTTAGAAGAAACACTTAACAGAGTATCTTTATGGCCTTGGGGTAGACAATGATTTTCTTAAACAGGAAACAAAAGCACTAACTCTTCAAGGAAAAAGTTTATAAGTTGGGCTACATTAAAATTAAGTTTCTATTCATGATAAGACCACTAATAAAAGAAAGAAAAGTCAAAGAATGGGAATAGATATCTACAATGTATATATCTAACAAAGAACTCTTATCCAAAATGCATCATTTTTCTACATTGTACATATGTATCAGAAAAAAACACAGAGCCCAGAAGATAACCCGAGCAAAAAAGTTGAATTGGTCAATAAACATGAAGTGATTGTAACACTTTATCAATCTTCAGGGAAATGCAAATTTAAATGGTAGTATGATACCATCTGTCACCCATCAGTTGATTAAAATGGAAAATAGCAAACATACCTTAACTCTCATTTAGTACTCCCAGTACAACCAATTATGAAAACTGGTATCTATTAATACTGGGCATATGTATAAACTGTGACCTAGAAATCTCTCTTGTAGGTATTTTTCACAAAGAATTGTATACATGTGTACAGAATGTAGCAGTACTGTTCCTAATAACTAACAGTGATAACCCAAATGCCATCAACAGTGGAATATGTTCATTTTGGGAAAGTCATCCAGCTCTGCACTAGTGATTAATTTTTTTACTTTTATGTATGTACGTTAAAAGAAAACTAATGTGCATGGAAAGCTGTCTTCTTGTGTGTTCATAATGGACATCTTATAAGATACACAAGCAACTGGTAACATTGCTTGCCTCCAGGGTTTGTCTTTTGAACCATGTAAATTTATTACCTATTCAAAAATAAGTATAGTCATACATTACATAATGACATTTTAGTCAATGACAGACACAAACTTCTTATTGCCTATGACATCATGGACATTTTAACATGGTAGTGTTCCATGTATTACATGTGTTTGTGATGATGCTGGTGTAAACAAACCTACTGAGCTGCCAGTTGTATAAAAGTATAGCACGTATTAATAAGATTATGTACAGTACATAATATTTTGATAAAGGCGTTACCGCTTATTCTTTGTTATTTTAGAGTGTACTTCTACTTATAAAAAGTTAGCTGTAAAACAGCCAGGCAGATCCTTCAGGAGGTATTCCAGAAGAAGGTATTGTTGTTATTAGAGATGACAGTTCCCTGTGTATTATTGCCGCTGAAGACCTTCCAGTGGGACAAGATATGGAGGTGGAAGTGATATTGATTACCCTGGCCCAGTGTAGACCTGGGCTAATGTATCTGTTTGTGTCTTTGTTTTCAACAAAAAAAGTTTAAAAAGAAAAACAAACCCAACATTTTAAAAATAGAAAAAAACCGATGGAATAGGATATAAATAAAGTATTTTTGTGTAGCTATATAATGTGTTTCTCTTACTACAAGAGTCAAAACCTTTAAAAATTGACACGCTTATAAAGTTAAAAAGTTATGTTAAGCTAAGGTTAATTTATTAAAGAAATTTTAAAATATAATATAACTTAAGCATAGTCTTTATGAAGTCTAGAGCAATATACAGTAATGTCCTAGGCCTTTACATTCACTCACAACTCACCCAGAGCAACTTCCAGTCCTGCAAGTTTCATTTATGGTAAGTGTTCTATGCTGACGGGTATACCATTTTTAATCTTTTATACTGTATTCTATATCTAAATACACAAGTACTTACAATTGTGTTATAGTTGCCTATAGTATTTAGTATTCTGTACAGGCTTGTAGCCCACAGGCAATAAAGGTGTACAGTAGGCTCTACCATCTAGGTTTGTGTAAGTACACTGTTATGATCACACAACAAAATCACTTAATGATGCATTAAGCGACATATCATCACTAAGTGACACATGGCTGTGCTACAGTTTATATTTATTAAAGATTATTTGTTACAGCAAATGCTAACGGACTGGATTCTCTTAAATACAGATACTCTCAAGTTGATTAAAACACTAATCTCAATTATATATCATTTGTAAGAATCAGACTTAAAAAGTTGGAAATCAGAGAGGCAAGGAGATCTTATGAAAAAAAATTTTTTTTTAGTGATTGGTAGTGTATGAAATGAGGTGGAATTTAGCTTAACATCTAATAAACAGATTGATGGGGAATGTTATGTAATGGTGGAAGGCTCATTTATAAAGTAGAGAAGAAATGGGGTACAGTAGGAGAGCTAAGGGTCATAATGCCAACAGTGCAAACAATGTGGAAATAACCACCCTGAAGGTTTAATATTCTATGCTACAGTATCCTTTATAGCAGTTATTGAATTTTAGGATTATAACAAGTATTGTTCATTCTAATTTTATTTTTTAGGGTTTTTTTGGTCATTTATAAACAAAACATGTATGTTTAAAAATAAGTACTGTGGAAGGGGTGGGAGGAGTGTAACATTAGTTGAAGTTGACCCTGCCTCTGAGGTTCTCACAGTCCTGCTTCTCAGGAGTAAGCACAATTAATAAATTTATTTGTAACCTTCTGGAACCTATTCACACATTTGAAAAATGATATTGAAAGAAAAATTAGAAGCGACTTTTAAGTTTTGTTTTAGAATGTTTTCTTTAAAAATACATGGCATTTTCAGCTTCATCATACACTTGCTCTGTATATTAAAAATCTAATGAAATTGACATTTAATGAAGACTTTCTATTGCACAGGTTTTAGAATTACTTCTTGCCTTCTGTTCAGTGACTCAGCTGCGCCATGTGCTCACTCAGATGATGTTTGAACAGTCTCCATCTGGCAACGCCACTCTAGGAAGCCATCCTAAATGTTTAGAGCCTACTGTGGCTCTACTGCGCTGGTTAAACCAACCTTTGGATGGATCAGAAAACTGTTCTGTTTTAGCATTGGAGTTGTTCAAGGAAATATTTGAGGTAATAGGTTGAATGACAGATTGACTTTTCTACTTTTGTGACTCTCAGCAATTTGTCTTCAAAACATTCTTAGTAAACTTCCAGTTCATACACTTGAGGAAAACTTGTCAATTACTAACAGTCACCCACTAGACTCCCTAAGTTTTTTTCTGCCCCTCATATATATTAGTATTTTCCTTTTTTTTTCACTGATAGCTTATATATGTAGCGCTTATTTCAGTGTAATAAGTAAAGATACTAAGATTTATATGATTTGTTGCATGACTAGTTGGAATAGTCACATTGTCTCTCCATTCCAAGTTTATTAGGCCATTGAGTGAATAATATAGGAATATTGGATTCAGTCAGTGAAATGGAGTTGAGCATGCCACACAATGTGTTAGGCACTTAAGATACAGACAAAACTCTGCATTCTGGTAGATCTTACTATCTGGGCAATTTAGTATTCTCTACTATTCTCCCTGTTTTTAAATTCATTCTGCCTAACCCAATATCTTCTGAAAGCATTTCTTGTCCAACTTGATTTTATACACAAATATGTGTATGAAGTGATTAAGTGTGTTCATTAAGAATTATGCACAAAATTTTCTATTTTCTCTTGTTCATGATTGTTTAACAGTCAGTTTTAACAATTAAAAAGCTCTTTGAGGTCTTGATGGAAATTATTTGTGGTTATAAACTATTAAGACCAAGGTCTATTATTATAATTACTTTTAGCAGATTTAGGATATTTGTTTTCAATAAGTACTTTTAGTTTAGAATAATTTTTAATTCACAAAGCCTGTTTTAAACAGTCTTATTTTAAAAAGTTTTACCTTACTGTCTAATTTGAGAAAAAAGCGAAAGCCCTCAAAACTGGATAAAGGTGTAAATTATAAATAAAAACTTCAATATTAATAGGAGACTTAGGTCAATGGCGTACTGCAGGAAATATAAAAAATTTAAAGAGAGTGTTATAACTCAGTGATGACTATTTCCGTATCATATATTCCATCTTTGTTTTTAATCATTTGTGATCGGTAATTCTCCAGGATGTCGTAGATGCTGCTAACTGTTCTTCAGCTGATCGTTTTGTGACCCTTCTGCTACCTACAATCCTTGATCAACTTCAGTTCACAGAACAAAATCTAGATGAGGCTTTAATAAGAAAAAAATGTGAAAGGATGGCCAAGGCCATTGAAGTTTTGTTAAATATCCTTTACTGTCATCAATGTGAAAACTATATAAATAACCATTTTTTTCTATATTGCATTCACTGCATTTTGTCTTTGTAATTTTTCACTTTTTGCTCATATTTATCTAGAATTATTGAACTAAAATTTAAACTATAGAAAAAATTCTCAATGAGTCTGAAAAAGATCCAAGGTTTTTTTTCCTTCTTTTTCTGTTTGAAACTTTTAAGGGAAGATACGTTTTTTAAAATGCTGTTTAAGCTTGATTTTTACATTTGTATCACAATTTGATATTTGGTAGTATATTCTAAAATGACTGTTCTGTTATTCCATGTTACTCTTTTCTGCTTGATGCTAATTATTGCCCCTGGATGATTAGTAGTGCCATTTTTTGGTGGTATATATTCATGAATAAAGAAATACTGATGGAGTTGTCACGATTTTAGCCCAGTTGTTTTAGCTTATGTTTTAAAAATAAAAGCCTTCATAATTGCCTTAATAATGGTTATAAGAAAAGGCCAGTGTATCAACACAAATTAATTCATTTAAAAAGAAACCTTGAACAATTAGTTTCACTGCTTAACTTCTGTATACTGATTTTCTAGGTCTTCCTTGTGTTCACTTTTTCCTAGATCAAATAATTCTGAGTTGCAAAGAAGTCCAAGTCCCGATTTTAAAACATTTCATTAATACTTTTTTACCGTGAGCAAAGAGCCACTGTATCTCAACCCGATCTCTTAAATTGATCTAGTCAGGTTTCCTTGTATCTCAGAGCAAAAGGAAAATGTTCTAGAGCAAATTCCTCTGTTTAATATCCTCTTCTAAGGTACTGCTCCTTAATTTTCTTCTTTCTTTAAAGTAGTGACTCTCAATGCTGATTTCTACCTAGAATCACCTGGAGAACATGTAAAAAAAAAAAAAAAAAATTGATGCTAAAACCTTACTTCCAGAGATTCTGATTTAATTGGAGTAATATGAAACCCTGAAATCACTCGGTAGTGTGTGTTTGTGTGTTGGCTTTTTTGTGATTGTTTAAACTATGCAGGTGATTCTAACATACGGTCCTTGAGAACCACTGCAGTAGGGACACATGATTGCTTGACCTTAGAGATATCTACAATTAATAAAGTGGGTCCTTCTCATTGAATTGGATCACAACTTGGCCCTTTTAAAAATAATAGCTATTTACTTTAATTTATAATATACAAATATGACAAAACAACTTCCCTTTATTCAATAAATATTTATTGAACCATTGAGATTCTTGCTAACAAAAACAGACATCCAATGGAGAAATATCCTCGGTTTTTTAACCTGTGAGTCAGAAACTTTGGGTGCCAGTCCATCTCTTACCACTTATTAGCCACTTACATTATTTGAGTTGCAGTTTCCTTGTCTGTCGTTGAGCTAATTTAACAATAATTATACTGGACAACAGTAATTATATAATTGGTATGAAATCATCCCAAATGGTATATTTTATACATAAAGTAATTTGAGAATTTTTTGTTGTGTATCTTAACAAAACTTACCTCTCTGTGGAGATGATACAATGAAAATGCATATTGCAAAAATCCTGACAACTGTCAAGTGTACCACTCTGATAGAACAACAGTTTACATATGGCAAGATTGACCTGGGATTTGGAACAAAGATTGCGGATTCTGAATTATCGTGAGTATATGAAATGTAATGACAAATTGGCAAGGTAGTAAAAAATCAAAAGATACGGTGATTCTCATCCTTTTGGAGGACCATCCTTTGGTTATAACTTAATATATAACAGATTAACAAACATATTTTCATAATGACTTTTTTGTAAATTCAATTTGTAGATTTTGTGCTTTTGAAGAAAGATATTAACATGCTTTTTATTGTTTAGGTTTCTTTTGTCTTATTGTAATTATCTAAGGGTTCTGAACATTTCTGGAGCTCCTTTTTGACATTGCCTCAGTAATTTATTTGTTTACTTTTTTTTTTTGAGATGGAGTCTTGCTCTTTTTGCCAGGCTGGATTGCAGTGGCACGATCTTGGCTCACTGCAACCTCCATCTACCGAAGTCAAGCGATTCCCCTGCCTCAGCCTCCTGAATAGGTGGGACTACAGGCGTGTGCCACCATGCCTGGCTAATTTTTTGTATTTTAATAGAGACAGGGTTTCACCATGGCCAGGCTGGTCTCGATCTCCTGACCTCATGATCCGCCCGCCTCAGCCTCCCAAAGTGCTGGGATTGCAGGGGTGAGCCACCGCGCTCGGCCTTAATTTTACTTTTTTAAATGAAAAGCATAAAAAAACAGAAGGGTAGTTTTATTACAAGGAAATCAGTCACTGCTGAAGATATTTTTAATCACAGCTCTCCTTCCTTAGCATGTCAGGAATTATGGTTAAAGATGGATTTTCACTGGATGGTAGTAAGATACTCTTGTATACCCTATAAATTAAGTCCATCTAACAAATCTTCATTGAAAACCTGCTAAATGCTAGACACTATTATTTGTTTCTATTTCCGTAAATGTCACAGTTGTCAGTAATTGTGTACCTTTAGAGTAAGAATTATCTGTTTTTATATTTTTATACTCCTTTCAGGTACAAAATTCAGAACATGACCTAATATAATTCATTTATTACACATTAGATATTCTGTATTGCCTAAGGTTACCCTCTGTTGATATTCTAATGACAAAGCTAAGTATTAAATGGACCATGTTTTAAAACTACTACTTACTTGAAACAGAAAGTTGAAGCCTGTTGGTAGTAGAAGAAATCCTGTCTAAGGCTATTAATGCCGGTTTGTTTTCTTTGGGTCTCGAGTTATAATGTTGATTGCTTTGTATTTTTACTTCTCAGTAGAAATAGTACTTTATCATCTTGAATCTTAAAAACACAAGTTTTTTTTTTTCTTTTCAGTTTCTTTAGAATTTTGGGCAGAAACAAGCTCTAAGAAATTTTTCAGTTGTCTAATTTAAATGTGATTTATCTTTAAAGCAAACTTGCTGCTGATGTAATTTTGAAAACTCTTGATTTGATTAACAAACTTAAACCATTGGTTCCTGGTATGGAAGTAAGCTTCTACAAAATCCTTCAGGTGGGTTTAAACTCTGGAAACATGGAAGTTTATTCATACATAAATGGTCCTAATATAAGTTTCTGTTTTAATATTCTGTTTTAATATTTAATAATCTTTAGAAGATGTTTCTCTTAGAATTGGCCATGAGAAGAAAATGTAAAGTTCTTGTCTTAAGTGGTTATAGTAGTCTCACTGCACAGTTATTTTATATACTTTTATAGGAATTGAACATAAGTGCTCATGACCCTTATGTAGAGAATGTTCACAATAGTGCTGCTTCCTTAGCCCTTTCCTTTCTTGTGTTGTGCTTATAAATTTCTTCATTTGTTTCTGTTGGCATTGGAGGAAGAGTGGTATTTGTTTTAGGGTTTTTGTTTTTGGTTAGGGTTGATGTAGGGTATTAAGGGGATAGGGAGACAGCCGAAAGTAAGGGACTTGATTGTGATAATTAGAAGGGCTGTGCAGAAAGTAATAACTCACAAATTTCAATGACAATAAGTAGCTGAGTAAGATCTCTAGATGTTATCAAAAGATAAGTACAACAAATTTAGTTCAAAGTTCTAATTGGCTTTTATTTGTGATTCTAAAATTTGACAGCGTCATTCTATAAAACAGAATGAATCATTCTCCTGGGCTAACAGAGGAGGTCAACTTTATAGACAGGAAAGGGCTGAAGAAAGCACAAATAGGGATCTAAAAGCAGATTGGTCATTTCAAAGTTATTTTGCTTATAGAGTTGTAATAAAGGGGACTTCCTTATAATACTATCTCAGGTTGACTAAAATCTCCTGGTTTCTTGGAAAACTAGCCTATTTCAAAGTGCAGTTTGATTACATGGCACTCATCTGAGCGACTCCTTTCTGGTTAGGTTTGGTCTGCCAAAGGCTAGTGTAGGAGTCTAGTCCAAAACAGTGGCCTCTTAAAACTTTGTGTAATAATATTTACCTTGGTATCTACAACACTTATGTTTACAACAGATGTTTAACAAAAATAGGTGGATTAGGTTACTACAGTAGCTTAACAGAGATGGCTCTAGTGACTATATAGACGGTATAGAAGCCAAAACTGAAACCTTAGGCAGGGACCACTGGTATGTTTTGAGAGCATGTTTAAGGGACTGAGTTCAAATGTTGGCTCTACTAGTCTTAATACGTTTTTGAGTAATTTATTTCACCTCTCTCAACTTCAATGTCCTTGACTAAAAACTGAAAATAGCAAGGCTTACCATTGAGAGTTTTGGAGATAATGCCCTGCTCTTACACAGTTCTATGACATTGGATTATACTTGAATACCTACAAGTTACTCAACATTTTAATTATTAAGGATTCATGTTTTAATATTGTCTGCACTAGTAACTTAGTGTATTTTTTAAAGGAGTCAAACTGATGTTATGTCAATTATTTAAGATACGTTTTTTATAATACAGGTTGAGCATCTCTAATTTGAAAATCTGAAATGCTCCAAGAACCAAAATGTTTTAAGTACCAACATGAGGCCCAAAGGAAGTGCCCACTGAAGCATTTTGGATTTTTGGATTAGAGTTGCCCACCTAGTAAGTATATGTAAATATTCTAAAATCTGCAAACATCAGAAATGTGTAACACTTCCAGTCCCAGACATTTTAGATAAGGAATACTCAACCTGTTGATGATTTGGGGCTTACAGTACTAATGTAAAATATTTACTGACATGAATGATTGAAGTAAGTATAAAATGTTCTAATTTAATTTGAATTTTACTTTTCATTTTATAGCCTTAATTTGGAAGTGATTGGCCGTTTTTAAGTTTTTCTTTTAAATGATAGCTTGGAAAAAAACATTAATTCTATACATCAGTCAGTTGTGGATTTTTAAGCCATGAAAATATATAAGGCATAATTTTTATAGGCATATTTAAAAGCATTCGAAACCTTTGCCAGATTTTTTTAAACTAATGTTCATATTGATTGCATGGCAGTGTAAACAGCCATAACAAGGTATAATATATTCAAGCTATATTATAATAGAGACTATAATGTATTCAGACATTAGAAACATTTTATAATTTGCCTAGAATTAAGATTTAGATATATTTACTCACCTCAACTCTGAAAGAGCTAACATTGTTTATTCTTTCTGCTTCTTCCTTTTTGGTTTCTGATTTATTTAGGACCCACGTTTGATTACTCCTTTGGCTTTTGCTTTAACGTCAGATAATAGAGAACAAGTACAGTCTGGACTGAGAATATTATTGGAAGCTGCTCCACTGCCAGATTTCCCTGCTTTAGTGTGAGTTGTAATCATTTACAGTCTATCTCTTGTGATGTCGGAATATCCCACTATGTTTCTTTAGTCCTCAGTATAGATAAACAAGCATATTAGTGAATTGAAGACTTCATTGTAATAGTAATTTTTCAAATGATTTCTAAAAATGTTTGATTCTTTTAAATGAAAAGTCCAGATGTATACTCACTCAGGGAAAAGCTAGATCTTGGTGGTTTAGTTTTCTTCATTTACTATCCCTCTATGTCTCTAGCCACTTCTTTTTAATGATAACTTCTGGACACTAAACTTACATCTTCCCAGTTTAGTTCCTCTATAGAAAGTTTAGTTTCCTTCTCGACTGTTTAAGGAAAAGGTCTAAGCATCAGTTGTTGACCAGATCTGGGTCAGCCATGAGAACAATGTAGACTAAAGGTTAGTTGGGGAATAGGCGAATGGGAGCGTTCCTAAAGAAAAAAAAATGGTGCTTTTATCACAAAGTGGAAAAATGATGATCAGGCAAAGTTTTCCACTATACTTGTTAATTTCAAGCAATAAGAATATTTACAATTATGTTTGAAAAAAAAATCAGGTTACAGGGCTTTCTGAACTTAATGGCTATTAGGAGTCTGGTTAAAAAATTCTTTTTCATTTAAGTTGTTTATGTGTATGAATTTGTAAAAATGGTTTGAATAATTTGAAGCAGTTGATAAACAGGAAAGATATTCCCTTTATACCAGGGGTCAGCGAACTGGCCAGTGGACAGGCACCTGTTTTTGTAAATAGTTTTATTGGAATATGGTCACACCCACTCATTTTTATACTCTGTCTATGTTGCTTTCGCTCTATAAAAGCAGAATTGGGTAATTGTGACAGAGACCAGGTAGGCCCTTGAGTCTAAGATACTTACTATTTTGACCTATAAGAAAAAGTGTGCTGGTCCATGCTATCTGCTATTCACTGATTTAGCAATTCCCATTTTTTGGAATTAGCAGTTTAGGTCATCGTACCTTAACAGTTAAAGAATGGTATGCAAGACCTAGAGACCATATAACCAAAATTCGCTTAATTTTATAATACATATTTTTTAACAGCAACAACAAAAATACATAGGATGCTTTTCAAGTAACAAGTTAAAAGTGGTCCGTGTGGTGGCCTGCTTGCCTAAACTGGCAATCTGACATGAAACAAAATGTCAGATTTTGTTTGAAATGAAACAAAACCTCAAAGCTTCAGAGGGGAAGTCTGCAGTCTCACTGAACATGGGAGTCTTAGCCTCTGCCTCTCTATGTGAGGCCTTCCCACTATTTTCACTTTGTCTTGGCATTCCCTGTCTTATTTGTGTTGCAGATAATTTTCTTTTTGAGCATTTTCTCTGGTGTCCATTTTATGCTTACTATTTAATGCCCTTATTTGACATTATCTCAAGCAGTTTAATAAGCTGAATGTATATTATGGATGCATTGGTAGGTAGCATTTTTTATGTGTGTATTCATTTGTTTGTTTTCAAGAGAGGGTCTCAGTCTATCACCCAGGCTGGGGTGCAGTGGTGTGATCATGACTCACTGTAGCTTCGACCTCTGGGGCTCAAATGATACTCCCTACTCAACCCCCTGAAGAGCTGGGACTACAGCTGTGTGCCACCATACCTGCCTAATTTATTAATTTTTTTGTAGAGGTAGGATCTCACCATGTTGCCCAGGCTGGTCTCGAACTTCCTGGACTCAAGTGATCCTCCCAAAGTGCTGGCGTTACAGGTGTGAGCCAGCCTATAGTAAATTAGACTGAGTGTCTGCCGTCATACAGTTTGCACTTTAGTTAGAAGATAAGTGAAAAAAAAAATTTTCATATTGTCTACATCACTATAGAGAGGATGAGTGGTTAATAATAATATTATTTATGGCATTAGTGAAGGCCTCTCTGAAAAGGTGAATTAGAACTGAGACCTGATGATAAGAAGGAGCCAGCCCTATGCAGATCTGGTAGGAAGCATGTTCCAGGTAAAGGAATAGCTCATATGAAAGCCTTCGGCGGAAGAAAGATAGGATTTTAAAGGGATAAAATGGAAGTCAGGTTGGTGAAAAGTATATACTGAGTAAGAAAGGAAAAGGAATAAGGACATAAAGGCCAGATGATATCACCCATGATAAGAATATTATTCTGACCAGTACCATTAACTTTGTACTTATAACAGATAATCCACACTCATAAACTAGTCTTAGAATGCCTCCAAACCAATGGTGAAGCTCTCATTATAAAGGGTTAGAAACAGAAAAGTGGGTGCTCTGGAAAATTTGGAATATTTCCCAAGACTTCATTTCATCATGGTCTCAGGATTATTTGAAGACTTCTATTCCAAAAAAGGACCCATTGTTAAAGATTTCCTAATTCTACACTAAGTCTGCCTTTTTTTCTATTTTCATATAGTTTTTATTTTCCTTTCTTTGACTCCCATTCAGACTTGGAGAAAGTATAGCGGCAAATAATGCCTATAGACAACAGGAAACAGAACATATACCCAGAAAAATGCCTTGGCAGTTATTAAATCACAGTTTTCCAACATCAGTAAAGTGTTTAACTCCTCCTCGTTTGAAAGATGGCATTCCTGGATTGAATATTGAAGAATTAATAGAGAAACTTCAGTCTGGAATGGTGGTGAGTGAAAAATAGCTATTATAACCTGGTACGTTACCAGCTGTATGTCAGCCCTGATTATAACGTTTATCTAAACACCATTAGGTACAGATTTCATCATTGAAAACTTATTTTTTAATATAAGAAATAACAATATTCTGGAAAATTTGGAAATAAAGGAAGAAAAATAAGTCATAAAATTTCAACATTTTGCTGGGTGCAGTGGCTTCTGCCCGTAATCCCAGCATTTTGGGAGGCCGAGGCGGACAGATCCCCTGAGCTCATGAGTTCAAGACCAGCCTGGGCAACATGGCGAATCCTCCTCTACCAAAAATACAAAAAATTAGCTGGGCGTGGTGGCATAAGCCTGTGGTCTTAGCTTCTCAGGAGGTTGAGGCAGGAGAATCACTTGAACTTAGGAAGCAGAAGTTGCAGTGAGCCAAGATCATACCACTGCACTCCAACCTGGGTGACAGAGTGAGACCCGTCTCAAAAAAACCTTTTTTTAAAAAAAGGAAATATTTGTGACCTGATGTACCATTTGTTTTTATTTTGTTACTCATCATTAAATTTTAATGATTTAGTTTTGAAGTAGGCGTTTATTTTGTCATTGTGTCAAAATATTTTAATGAAATTTTCTGATTTTTTTTTTACTCTTAAAATGTAGGTAAAGGATCAGATTTGTGATGTGAGAATATCTGACATAATGGATATATATGAGATGAAACTATCCACATTAGCTGTGAGTATAAGCTTATTTTAACGATGTGTAATAAGCTTTCATAGATGTATTCCTAAAATGAAAATTAATGATATGTTTTCTTGTAGTCCAAAGAAAGCAGGCTACAAGATCTTTTGGAAACAAAAGCTCTAGCCCTTGCACAGGCTGATAGACTGATTGCTCAACATCGCTGTCAAAGAACTCAAGCGGAAACAGAGGTATGTAGAATATAAAGACACATCTGATTAGTAAAAAAATTAACAAATGAAGTAAAACATGCAAAATATTAGTTATGTATTTGTTACTTTAATGGAAGTAAATTCTCTTTAACATTTGACATGCCTACTTCCTTCATCCTGAAATTCAGCCCTCTTTAATTTTGGTTACATCGTTATCCTCTGATTTTTTTTTTTTCTACCTAATATCATTTTCCTATATTATTTATGTTGTACCTTTAAGTGTTGGGGACTCTAGGGATTATGTTCTAAACCTTTTTCCTTTAGTTATGTGTTCCTTGGTTTCAGTGTTTACCAAAATATTAACGTTCCCAATTTTATATATCAAACACAGATCATTTTCCTGAGCACTGCGTGCCTATTTGCTCCATTTAAATATACAGGAAATACTTCAAACTCAGCATAACCTATAATGAACTAATTGCTCTTCCCTTTTTAAAAATTTACTCTTATGCAGTCCCTCTACTGTTTTTAGTGTTCTACAAATAGAAAACCTGGAAATCACACAGTTTGCCTTCTAGAGTTATTTACTAAGTCCGGTTGATTCTGCCTTGTAAATATTACTCTTTTCTGCCCTATTTCTGTTTCTACCACTATTTGCTATAGGCTGGATCCTTTTCATTTTTTGTATGAATCATAGCAGAACCTCTAATTAGTCTTCCTATCTTTAGTCTAGTACTCTCTTCTCAGCTCCTTTACAGCCAGTCATCTTTCCTTCACCTAGCCCCTCCCTCAGGGATCTCTAAGGCAGTAAAATGATCCTGTCCCTCTTGTGCTGAGTATCTTTCATAGTAGCTGCAATTGCTTTAAGAATGTCATTAAAATTCCTTAGTTTGTCATATAAGGATTCTAACTACAGGGTTCTCAATCCACATCTTTCATTTCTGTGCATTCTTTGCAGTCAACCACGTTTGGCTACTTTGCTTTTTCTGGAACTTGACATATTCTGGTTGTTTCTTTGTCACGGCACTTGACTTTCTATGTCTGGAACACCTTTTCCTCTCTTCTGCCTAACTCACAATCCTTCAGATTTCAGTTAAAATACCCACATTACCCAGAAGCCTACTCTGGTCTCCTCCTTCCCTTACATATGTTTGACAATCCTTCCTCTTTGTATCAAACCTATGCTTACCTCTCCATAACATTTTTCAAACCACGTGGAAATGCTGTTATCCCCCACCCATGGTATCAGAGACTGCTTCTATAGCTCCAAGCCCTAGCATAGCACTTGGCACATTGTAGGTGCTCAGTAAATTTGGCATTGTACTATGTACATATATAATGTATACCTTATGAGGGTGACCTTACTGCAGTAACATGAAATTCCCAGCAGATACAAATGGAATTATACAACTTGATATTATTTACAATGAATGAATTATAATACAGTGTTCCTGGCTTTTGAAAGAGGCATCAAAGTGAGTGACAAGTAAAATGCCTCTTAAGTCTTTTCAGAATAAAGGTATTCTGAATAATATAAAGAAATATAGCTGTATTTATTTATTTTTTTATTTTTACATGGTTTCATTTGACTGGTATGTCAAATCTGTCACAAATTACAAGGAAGAATCATTAGTAATATTAAAATAATTTTTCCCTCTCATAGCACATTTTTATATTCTCTGTCTATTGGACATGTCTTATATTTTATTAGAGAGTTTAATATTTTATGCCTGTTACTGGGAAAGCTTCTTAGAAAAATAGCACTAAATAACTGGATATAACTTCTTCACAGTTAAAGTCATAAAAGCAGAAGGGCTTAGGGTTTTGTCTAGGATTTTAAAATAAAGTCCAAAGGGCTGCGGGGAACTGACTTTTTATTCTCAGGACTTTTCTGCTTTTTTTAGTGTTTCATGTCACATAATACATACATACAGGTTATGGTATAGGTTACATTCCTTGATTATGCTAGATTAATTTTAAGTGTTTGATTTAGCATCTGTGATGTAGTTAAGATTTTGTTCTTAATTCTCACCAGAAATAAGAATGCTGATGGTGTGCACACTTAGCAGTTTAGTGTTAGTGACCACCCCTGAGGACCATACCCTTTTAACTGAATACTGTATGTAGCACTATCTTCATATTTCTGCAGTTGTATTCATTTCCATTAATTTGATCATAATGAGATTGTTTTTATCAGATAATTAAATAAAAAACTATACTTGTTAGAAGTAAATTCATAAGTATTTATGACTAATTAATATAGCTTTGCATGACCCAACAGATACCAGCTTATTAGATACTTAGTAAACCTTTTAAATTGTAGGAATTTGTTGAGCATGTTGTATAGATGATAGTAGAAAAGTCTATGTTCTTTTTGTTGTTGTTTGTTTAAGGCACGGACACTTGCTAGTATGTTGAGAGAGGTTGAGAGAAAAAATGAAGAGCTTAGTGTGTTGCTGAAGGCACAGCAAGTGGAATCAGAAAGAGCCCAGAGTGATATTGAGCATCTCTTTCAACATAATAGGAAGTTAGAGTCTGTGGCTGAAGAGCATGAAATACTGACAAAATCCTACATGGAACTTCTTCAGAGGTAAATAAAGTAAAACCTTCTATGTAAGGTTAGAACCTAAAATGAACATGCAGCATTTCTGTTCTGTGACCCGAAAATCCTTCTGTAAGCATTTCATATGTTCTGATAACACATAAGGTAAGTAATTAGAAACTTAAGTCAGCGTGAAATGAAGTATTGCCTCCTCAAACTCAGTGTCAGTGTTGGAAACAAAATACAGATCTTTCCAGTTGACTTCTTTTATGTATTCATACAGTCACCAGTCATTTGGGAGATAAGCTCCACAAGGACAAGTTTCTTCGTCTGTTTTGATCACTGACAAATCCCTAGGAACTTCAGGAGTGCTTGCTGCATAGTTAGGCCTTTCATTAATAATTTTTAAATAGACTTAGTAGGCAAATTAGTATTAGGTTGAATAGTCATTCTGCAGATCGAAAGTAGTTGAACATTGGCAATTTCTTATCATTCAGACTAATAGAATGGAAATTTAGGTGTAAGTGTTTAACTCATCTCTTAATGTCATTGATTATAGTTTACTTATATGTGTGATTATATCTGTAGAGTAAGTTCTTATAGGTGAATTGCTAAGTTAATGGGTATGTATATTTAAAATTTTGATAGATATTTCCAAATTTTCCTCTAATATATGACAGGTTGAGTATCCTTTTTGAACACAATGGTAGCACTCAAAAAGTTTAAGATTTGGGAGCACTTCCAATTTTGCACTGATTTTGGATTTTCAAATTAGTGATGCTCAACCTGTACCAATTTGTGTCCCTACTAACAAAGTTTGGTTTTTCCTCCCTTATAAACTCTTTTATCTTTTTAGGCCAGTTTTAAAACTTCTGAATTACAGGGAAGACCAGGAACAATTATACATTTTCTACCAATCTATAAAAATAAAAACACTCTGGAGGAAGTTGTTTATTACTTTATATTTTAAGATCGTTCCATGCTGTTAATACAGAGATAAAGAAATTTTTAGTTTGGTATAGTACATATGCTTATTTGTCCATCAATAATAATGAATGGAAAGAAATGAATAATATCTAGAAAATGATAATGAAGTGATTTTTTAACAGGATATTTTCCCCAGCAACATTTTACAAAGTCTGATTGTTTGAGGCACCACTGATAAAGTGTGGCATTAGCGATAAGTCAGGTTGAGAACTTCAGCAGTGAAGAAAATAAATTATAGAACTGAAATGGGGTCTGCTTGCTCAATATAGTAAAATCAGGTATCTGCACCAAGGTTTGCAGTGATGGAAAAAAAGGTTTTTATTGCAGGGTGCCAAGTAAAGAGGACCAGGCAGCAAAATGCTGAAATCCTGACCTCTCCAATAGCTTGCAAGCAAAGATTTTTAAAGGTAGGGGTAAATTTCAGAAAAGTGGAAGTTACAGCAAAATCATAAATCAATAAAGGTTACATATTGGTTTAAGCCTAAAGGACAGGATATTGTGAAGCAGGGGCTTATAGGTCATAGGTAGACTCAGAGATTTTTCGATTTGCCGTTTAAGGTAGAGCAGCTTTGTTTAAAAATTTGGGATCAGTAGAAAAATGTTAACTAGCTAGGGAGAGTGACTTTCTTCAAGACCCTGAGAAAGAAACTTAGAACGAAAAACAATGGTTACAATTCAGCCTTCATTCCCCCCTTATCTGAGGTCTACTTGCCCATGGATCTGGTCCGTGGGGTTTCTCAGTGAGGGTCCAGGTCTCAGAAATACAACTCAGGGACATATGGTAAGTTGTTTTCTTTAAGCTCTGTAAGGAATCAAGCCTTTCTGGTACTCTTAAGTTTGTTAACTATTGATATAGGCTACTATTACCTTCCTGTTTAACAAGTTACTTATTTACTTTGAGGGCCTCCTAGATCCTTGGAATTTCCCTTGAATGAACTCAGGATTTTCCTTTATTTCCAAGCTTGAGGTCCTCAGGCCTCCAAAAAAGGGGGTCCCTGCTATGTCTTACATAGAGAACGAATATAGGCAGGGTCCAAGAAAGGTAGATGGTTTCTAAGACCTGCTTATGTTCCAGCTAGTGATTTAGGGGCCAAAAGTTGAAATTCCTTGAATGGACAAATGTGTAACATAAATGACGCTGGCTAGGGAAAAGGTCATTTGTAATGGTCAGGACTGTCTAAAGGTACTCAAACTCAGGTTGTTAAAAATCCTATATGGATTATATACAAAAACTGCTAGCCAAATTTGGCTGTCAGTTTTGTTTGTTGGTTTGGTTTGTTTGATTTGGTTTTTGGGTTGCTTTTAAAAGTCTTGGTACTTAGTGAAATAAAAGTGACATTTTATGCTTATGGTAGTTGAGTATTAAAGTATCACTTTAGAAAGTATTTTTTCTGTGTTTACTTTGCAGATAAAATAAGACTATTAGATGCAGAATGTTAAGGAGACAAATATAGAACCCTTAACTTATTTAGAGCAAATTATGTAATGCAATATCATCTGTAAAATAAAGCTTTATATCCATAAATATGAGGATAATGTTGCACACATTTCTATTTCATTGTAATTTTTACCACATCAGTCAACCAAAACATAGTTAAAACATGTATTTACATCCTGTTAGAGTTGATCAAATTCTATTTATGTCTTGTCTGTTCATAACATTCCTTCTCTTTCAGCATACGTAATTTGGTTAGAAGAAATAGTAGAGAAAACACTGAGAGTTTCTTTTCCCGTTCATATATTTTCCTCCATAATGGTGCCAACTCACTTTCTTGTCTTTTCAGAAATGAAAGTACTGAAAAGAAGAATAAAGATTTACAGATCACATGTGATTCTCTGAATAAACAAATTGAGACAGTGAAAAAGTTGAATGAGTCACTTAAGGAACAGAATGAAAAGTAAAATCTCTAGTCTTATATTCTGAATATGTGGGGTTCTTCAAAAATAAAATGATTCTCTTTCTATATAGAACATTGTTTTTTATTGATAAAATTAAGAGAATTATCAGTTATTTTAGATATAAGATATACATTTGGTGGAATTTGCAGGCAATTGCTGTTGATAGAAATTTTGTTTTAAAGGCTGGGTATGGTGGCTCACACCTATAATCCACCACTTTGGGAGGCCAGGGTGGGTGGATCATCTGAGGTCAGGAGTTCAAGACTAGTCTGGCCAACATGGCCACACTCCATCTTTACTAAAAATAAGAAAATTAGCTGGGCATTTTGGTGGGTGTCTGTAATCTCAGCTACCCGGGAGGCTGAGGCAGAAGAATTGCTTGAGTCCAGGAGGCAGAGGTTGCAGTGAGGGCAAGATCATTCCACTGCACTCCAGCCTGGGTGACTGAGCGAGACTCCGTCTTAAAAAAAAAAAAAAAAAGAAATTTTGTTTTAAAATACTTGTTAGGGAGAAAAAGTCACAAATGACATATGGTCATTAATGTTTTCTTCTTTTTTAAATAACTTCAGGAGTATTGCCCAATTAATAGAGAAAGAAGAACAGAGAAAAGAGTTACAGAATCAGCTAATAGACAGAGAATATAAGCTAGCAAGTAAGTGGCTTCTTATTTAATACATTGTCTATTTTTAATGTATTTCTGTTGGAAGCATGAGTGGTTTCATTTGCTTTTTTATTTTCTACTTCCCTTATTGTTTTAAACCTTAATCACATTTGAAATGGCTTCTTCCCTTTTCTTGCCATAATATTTCACAAAAGTGTTTCAGTTTGATCAAGCTGAAAAAGCAGTACATTTTTTTGAAATTTAGGAGCTGTAAGAAATTGGCCAGGCACAGTGTCTCACGCCTGTAATCCCAACACTTTGGGAGATGAAGGTGGGCAGATTGCTTGAGCTTAGGAGTTTGAGACCAGCCTAGGCTACATGGTAAAACCCCATCTTTACAAAAAAATACAAAAATCTAGCCAGGTGGTGGGTACCCGTAGTTACAGCTGCTCAGGAGGCTAAAATGGGAGAATCACTTGAACCTGTGATGTCAAGGCTGCAGTGAGCTGTGTTCACTGCACTGCGCTCCAGCCTGGGTGACAAACTGAGACTCTGTCTCAAAAAAATAAAGAAATGATTGCACATTTAATTTTTTATAATTTCAACTTTTAGAATCTGGAGCATGTGTTCAGGTCTGTAACCCTGGGTATATTGCCTGACATGGAGGCTTGGGGTATGGATCTCATCACTCAGTGAGCATAGTACCAAATAGGTAGCAATAGGTAATTTTCAACGCCTCCCCAACTCTAGTCTGCAGTTTCTATTGGTTCCATTTTTATATCCATGTGTACTCAATATTTAGTTCCCACTTACAAGTGAAAACTGGGAGTATTTAGTTTTCTATTTGTTCATTAAATCACTTAGGACTATGGATTGCACTTTTCAAAATGTTAAAATGTTAAAGGAACGTAACAGCAGGTGGCAGTATTAGGTAACTTTTGGTTACTAGCCTCTTAATGGTATATTAGAAATGATCCAAGAAAATAGTTTTGTTCTCACTTGCCCTAAAGTGCAGGCACCTACCTATACAATTTTTCATAGTTGGAGGTCTCCCTTTTCTTACCCTTATGCTCTGAGATTGTCCTTCACTTATAAAGTGTATTATATTTAGAACAGAGGATGGAGGAAAGACATGGAGATTTGATATTTTCTATAGAATACTGTGTTAAGTTTCTCTTCATTGTTCTAATTATTTTTCTTTTGCTCTTATAGTAACTACTAAACCTTTTCAGAGTAGTCAGCGTAATACCTCTGAGTATATAGCTGACTGATTTTTTTTTTTAAGACTTGCATCAAAAAACAAAAGTACAAGAAGAAAAGATTAAAACCATACAAAAAGAAAAGGAAGATACGGAAGAAACCATTGATATCCTTAGAAAAGAATTAAGCAGAACAGAACAGATAAGAAAAGAGTTGAGCATTAACGTAAGACTCTGTTCCATTTCTCATTTTCATTAAAATGAAAAAGTCTGTTGTGAAAAGGGTGAATATGTATAAATGAATGTTCTATTTCTTTAGCAAATTTTTAAAAAGATATTAGGGTCTCAAAGCCACTTGAGTATCATTTGTTATGAGGTTTTCACAATGTATTTCCTAAAATAAACCCTTATTAAACAAATACTTTGTGTCAGCACTTACTACTTACTACTTTCTGCAAAGAATACAGAAAGGGATTTCCAGTTATTGATGTCATATATAGGTAGCTGTATGATTTTCACTTTAACAAGTATTATATAATATGTAAATATTAATAAATATTTTCAACGTACCGCTGAAGACACTGGGTCTGAGGTTACTTACTAAAGTCACACAGCTAATAAGTGAATCAGTAGATAACGTATTCTGAATACGAGTCCAGGGTTCTTTCTACATTACAATGGTTGCATACCTTGAGTGGTAGCTATGAATTGCACTTTCTGGCCCATTTACTACCAAGAAGATGAGAACAGACTAGGATTAAAAGACTGATCTAGTACAGAGCATGAGTAACAGAAGCATAAAATTTAGTACTGCATTTACAATTTTTCTGGTTCCTCTTTAATGTGATGAACTTATTAGTAATTTTAATATGTAGTATATAGCATTTTCTGCAGAATTTCAGCTGCTGACATTAACTTAAGACAAGTTGAAAGTGTATTCTCAATTTGTATTACATTGTTCAATGATTATTCATTTTAAACTTACCATATAATTGAATTAATTAAAGCATAATATTTATAGTGTGTCTTGAAATGGTTATCGTACAAATAAAAAATAAAAGCATCTTAAAATATCTGTACAGAGAAAACATTAAAGTTATTTTTCTTCTCAATTCTTCCTCCTCCACCAACCCCAATTCCTTAGGCTTCCTCCCTAGAGGTTCAAAAAGCACAATTAGAAGGTTGTTTGGAAGAGAAAGAGTCCTTGGTGAAACTTCAGCAAGAGGAATTGAACAAACAGTCCCACATGATAGCGATGATCCACAGCTTAAGTGGTGGAAAAATAAATCCGGAAACTGTGAATCTCAGTATATAGACATTATGGCGTTTTGGAATTTGTAATCTAATGATATTTTTTGATGTATTTATCTATTGGAGCTGGGTGGGTAGGGAATTTGTGACTTAACAACAATAAAATATTATTATCTAATTTAGTAAAGAACCTGATCTGATGCATGTTTTTCATTTGATTTTTTTGAATTAGAAATTTAATTTTTTAAGTTTTACTTTTTGTTTCTGGCTTTTATTGCTTAAGGTTGGGTCTCACATTAGAAAATCCTTTTTAGCCTCTATTATCATTTTTCTCAGGTTCTTTCCTTTTTGTTGCTTTCTATTCTGTTTTGCCTGTCTTAATTATTCTCATTTGTGATTATTTAGATCTTTAAGACCAAACTTTCTTGATATAACAATGCTAAGATTATAAATTTAAAATATAATTATTAGTAAAAAGAGAGAAGGTATAATACTGCTAGAGAAGTTTTTCTCTAAAGAAGCACAAAAGAAAATATTAGTGAATTTAAAATAATTTTTATTACTGCATGACATGACGTAATTTCTAAATTTGAAAAAAATGCAATGGTAATCAAATGTATAAAAACTAGAAAACTGTTATTGTGTTACACTATTACATTTAAATTATTACATTTAACACCATAGTTGTCTCATAAAAAATCTAATAGCTTGTAGAATTATTTGTAAGGTATCTTTAGTTTTTTTCTCTTTTTTTAAAATGTTGCATAGTGGTCCATATCATCTGTAATTAAAGTTTCTCATGATTTACATAAGGATAATTTGGATTCTACTCTTGCTACATATTCAGAAAAATATTATTTACTGTTAATTCTGACAGGAATTCCATTTAATATGTTGTCTTAAATAGTTTTTAATTCATTTAATTTTAAAGGATAGGGTAGATATCTTTGTGGGTTTTTTTAAGTACAAGAGTCCTTCCGTATTTTTCATTTGAATCATATACTCTAACTACTCTGTAAGAAAAGCTTTTACATTAATATTTTGATTTAATTTATTGCTCTACCATTACAGTCATTAATTTTACTTGGTTTTCTTCACCATATATCTCTTTAAGTGAATTTAGATTTTTTGTACAGTTCTGGAAATTTTTAACAAGTATTGTGCAGAGTAAAACATTTTAAATTACTACTTGTTCTAAAGAGGAGGTACATTCTATTTCTCTTTTGAAATGGCATTTTCAACCAAATATAAAAAAGTTTAAGTGGGTAGATATGACTGAAGAACAGAAGGTTCTATAAAATAAAAGGGACAAAAAGTTAAAGAAATAAATGAATGAACCAAAAACTCTAGGGAAAGTCAATCTATCTTTACAATTTAGACATCTTGAGGCAGCCTATCCTAGTGCTGCCCTACACAATTTTCTGTGATGATGGCAATGTTCTATCCTGTCCAGTACCATAGCCAGTGGCTATAGGTGGCCATTGAGCACTTGAAATGTGGCCCGTGCAACTGAAAAAAATAAATTTTTAATTTTATTTTATCTTAATTTTCATAACCACCCTATTGGAAAATACAGATCTATCCCATTCTCATAAGTATGTGTTTATTTAAAGAACTCAATTTGCCTTTTCTTAAAGATCTACATAGTTACTCCATGTATATATTAGTAGCCCTTTTTAAATATACTTTTAACCTGTTTATTCTAATCTTTTCTCCCTAAAGAGGAAAGTCCATACTGTAGCTTGGAAGGTGAGTACCAATTATCATCCTTTACCACTTTCTGTCTCTTGTAGCACCTTTCATATTGTTTCTGTTGTTTTTCTTAATACCTTTACTATATTGGTTACTTTTTTTCTTGTTGGACTGTGTACCTCATATTAAAAAAACAAAAGTGTGTATAATTTTTTTTTTCTAAAAAATAATTTTAATCAAATTTGAACCACCACCATATCAGGGTTTTCCATGTGTGTATGCATGCCCATTTCCTAATGGAAAAAACAAAACTTAGGAAGTGCATCATTACATTAGGATTACTCACACCTTCTTAAAATTTTACTGGGGAGAGTTTGTCTCCAGAGTATACATTAACACAGTTCCTTTTGCTATTTACACTGGCCACTTGAACAAATAGATGCTTCTCATAAAATTTGGTTGATTGAAGTTTATACTAAATTGGTCATTAATTTAATGTCAGTATAAAAATAATGAAACCGTATGCTGTGTCTTAGGAAGTGATCAGGTCAATGTCTTTTAGGATCTATCTACTTATTCTTTTCCTCCCTTCAGATAGTTATGAACTATATTTACAACTTTGCTATTGGCATATATATCATTGTACCAAACATGTGTCCTGTTTGTGACGTCATCCTTTGCAAGAGTTAGCAGACATTTTCTGTAAAGGGCCAGATAGTAAATATATATTTAGGCTTTTTAAACATAGCTTCTGTCATAGCAACTCAACCCTGCTATTGTAGCACAAAAGCAGACAATACATAAATTAATAGTCATGGCTGTGTTCCAATAAAACTTATTAACAAAACTAGTCTAAATTTTGCTATTAGATGTTACATTTACTTATTAAGAAATGTCTTTTTATGCTTGGTAATCTTTATTTTGAAGTCTATTTTATTTGATAAAAATATAGCCACTTAATCCTTTTCATGTTTTCTGTTGTCCTGATACATCTTTTTCTGTTAGTCTACTTCTAACCTGTATGTTTATATGTAAAATTCGTGACTTATTAAAAAAAATATATAGTTAGGTCTTGCTTTTTTAATCAATTTTGACAAAATCTATTGCAGTCCAGTTAGAGTTAATATTGTACCACTTAACATAAAAATGTAAATACCTTGCAACTATATAGGTCCATCTCTCCTCCTCTCATCCTGCATACTGTAGTCGACATGTATATTACCTCTGCTTATGTAGCTAACCCTCAAACAATGTGATAATTTTTGCTTTAAGCAGTCATATAGAAAAACTCTGACTGTCAGCATCAGTATATTCACCTATTTGCGTGCACCAATACAATAGTTTCTTCAGTGTAACATTCCTATTTTTCCCTTTGGAAATAATAAGTAATTTGTGGGCAGTTACTTGCATATATGCTGTTTCTTTTCCACCTTGCATCCGCTGGTTTTAGTATTGTTGCTAATTCTTACTTGAATCAGTTCTTAATTTGATGGTTGGTTGCCAAGTGGTTATATTCTTACCTTTTAAAGGTAGAAAATTGAACATTTTGGTAATGTTATAATGTGCTGAAAATAGTAGTCTACATGAAATCACTTATTCATAAAATTAAAATATAGTACTTATAGTTTTACAGTTAATACAGCATATACTTTTCGTGCATATTCTTACAAGCAAAGCATGTGAGATTTGCTTTCTATACTTTAAGAAAATAAATATGTATGTTAAGCATATTGATTTTTTTTTAACTGCAAGACCCTTTGGATATTGTTTTTCTACCCCAACCTTCTAAATTGAGAATTGCTTGTTTAAATCATGAGATTCGATTCATTTGGGTCATCACTTTACCTTGGCTCTCAGTGATCACCAATGAATATTAAATGTTTATTACTCATAATAAAGTATCTTGGATTAAGAAAACAATTGTACATTTCCAGGCTTCACTGAGTTTACATTCTAGATAATTAACTTTTAAAAATTAATTAAAACTTGGTTACTACTTACACCTGTATTCCTGTAATTTTGGGAGCCTAGGCAGGCAGATCGTTTGAGGCAGAAGTTCCAGACTGGCCTGGGCAACAAAGTGACACACTCGTCCCTACAAAAAAAAAAAAAAAAAAATTAACTGGGTGTGGTGGCATGTCCCTCAAGCTGCAGTGCAGTGAGCAGTGATTGCACCATTGCACCCCAGACTTTATAGGTGTGTATATAAAATACGGCCTTTTTTTTTTTAAAGGCAGATGTTTCATTAATTTTTTATAGTGTGAATAATAAGCCTGATAAATACTTGAAAGTGTATGTCTGTGTACTCCATAAATTGAGAGGAAACATTGTGAACTCAAAAACTCATGGTTTATTTTGAACGTGCAAATCACTTTGAAACCTTATACAGTCTCACTTGGTTAAGCATTTTGTAGTGAATTTACTTTCTTCCTGTCATCAGATGCCTCTGTGAGACCTGTTTCATTTATGCTTGTGTTCATTTAAACATTTCAAAACTACCCCAGAGAAAACCTATCACTTAACCATGAATAAGAGGTATCATAACTCTTAAAACCCAGCTTTTTTGCAACAAGTATCCCTTCATAAATGCAAGAAAGAGTAAGCCTCTTTCTTTCCAACTAAACGTAGTATTTTAGTTGTCTACTTCCCTAAGGACCCAGTATCTGTATTTTCTCGATACCTCAAAATATGATGGATAATCCCAGGATACATAGCAAAGGACTGTCCACTACTACATTAGAGAGAGACATTTTCAAAGTCAACAGAGTGGAGTGGCTTTCACTTTCATTACCTTATTAAAAACTAATTTTCCACTAAGTAGCTGAGCATTTGGCAGGGATTTAGTAGTGAACATGATTTTGCCTCTCCATTAAATTATCTTCACTGTTATTCTAAGCATTATATTTCATCTCACTTATCTCAAAGAGCCAAAAGATATAATTTATTAGAGTAGCCTTATGCTCTTCTCAAACTTCAAATAAAAAGGCTTATGATTAGCCCTAGCAAAAGACAACAATGTTCATCTTCAATTAGGCAGGGTTTTCATTTTATTTCAAAGTAAAGGCTACTATCAACTACTACATATTAATTTGTGTAATACCCACAGTTAATCAGCATGTTAGAGCTGAGAGAATTCTGAAAGAACAGTGAGCCCAAGCCCGTTGTGTGAAAAAAGATTCATTCTCGGAAAAGAGGTCCCATAATTCAAACACAAACTGATGTGACTTTTAAATAAGCATGTGTTGTTATGAAACACACAGAAGTTTCACTTCTGGCAATATATCTGAAAGAAATAAGGTTGTACACTAAGATTTATGTACAGTAATATGGCACAAAATTGGAAACAATTTATGTATGCAATAATAGATTGGTTAATGGTATGAGGTATAGTCATGTAAAATAATATGCATTCTTTTTAAAAAGTTACTGAAATATATATAAAGTACTTGGGAAGAGATTTTTGGTGTGTTAAGTGAAAAAAAGTAAACCAAAGTATTTGTAAACAATGATTCAGATATCTGAATGTCTTTAAGATTTTTTTACACGTGTGTGTGTGTATTAGAAACCGTGAGCAGTGGTAACCTCTGCCTAATGAAATTATAATTGATTTCTTTGGTTTCTAAAATTACGATATTACGTTAACTTTTTAAAACCATGTTTTAAAACGTTGGATTAGTAACCACATTTGGATTTGACTTCTGGCTCTACCTAAGGAAAGTTTTTATTTAATCTGTTTTATTCTTTTGTAAATGAGGATAATACATACTTAATAGAAAAAAGTTGGAAAAAATACAAATAAAGCTCATGGCTTTTAGTAGATTTTCAATAATGGTTTATCTCTCTTTTGGAGAAGGAATGAAAAAGTTTTAAGTCCTTTGTCCTTGGTATCTTCTTTCTCTTCATCAAACGTGTAGCCAATTGAAAAAGTAAAATTAACAATAAAGATTCTCTGTTACTTTTGCGAGTAGTGGAGGATGGAGAGATTAGGAGCGAAATCTTTAAATTATTGTCTACACTGAGAGTAACAATTTTATTGGCTAGACTAGTCTGGGTTGCTCAGACTTATTTCTATTAGGTATGAATTATAAGCAGTGTTAAATTAACATCTCTTCTTGAAAGGAGCATTTTTCATACTTCAAATTAGCCTTCTCTTGGATGTCATAGTATTTTCTAATGACTGTACCTGCAAAATTCATTGTGAGGTTGTACATTGTTATTTCTTTAATTCCCTGGAAGAGATTATGAGGAAAAGATGTACTTGAGAAAAGTTTGCCAAATTTTAGTAGTAAAACAACATGTCTAAGACTTGGATCCCATTATATTCCCAGCTCTTTTGACAGATTTAAAAGTTTTCCTAATCTATGTTAGTATTTCTATTTAGAAATATCCTTTTTGTGGTAGCCTCTTAAAAGTCCAAAAACATTTAGTGTTATCTTCCTCAAAGTTAAGATGTATGTGTTATGTTTACAGAGATAATGAAAATACAGACCTTTAATTGTAATATGAAGGAAGGGTTACAAGAATCTTAGGAATTTGTATAGAATCCAGAGGAGAGAGAACTTGATAGCAGATGCGTGAAGTTGGCTGTGTAAAAACAGAACAGTAATCAAGGTCACCCTGAACCATTTAGTCTGAATGACGTTTCATGCAAGTACCCGTCAAATAAGACTGACTGAAGCCATGACTTGAATTGCTGCTATCCTTGAGCTACTAAATAAGACACTTAGATTATTGATGTTGTAGGTTGATGCAACAACATAATATTTTGTTTGCCATGTTGCCTGGGTAGATGTGAGATGTGATCCACCCAACTTCTGATCATACTGC